GAGGGGGGGCTCCGGCTGCCCGCCCGCTGGAAGCGGCCAGGGAGGATTGAATCGACCTCCGCAAATACCGTCTAAAGTTGAAGCGATGCGGCGACGGTATTGTAGATACGATGCAATTCCTTAAAACAGTAGTTTACCTATGAATTACTCTGTTCGTTCCCAGAGGTATCTGCACGCTTAGATCCTTGTGTACGAGGGATGAAATAGACTGGAGAAAAAAGTCTGGTGTAGCACCGAGTGGAAAATCACTGTAGACTTCTCCTGTGCGCAGGCAAAGCTTGAGTTAGGAAAATCCTCTTAGAAACATAAAGGTCAGCTAATGGGTTTCAGAGTTAGGATTTAAAGTGGTGGAAGAAAGAAATTAATTGACAGTCTATATACCTTAAAAGGCAATCTAAAATGAAAAATGGCTAACCCTCTAAAAGGATATACCCTCAACTCAATTTTTTTTTTTTCAATGACCTTTCTCTTTGGAAACAATACTTCATGACAAAAAAAAAATCTAGTGAAAGTGACTTAAAAAATTGTGTCTTTCTTGAATGGATAGTTCTTGGTGCCTGAAGAGAAGGACCAGGTATCTTTCGTCAGGTTACTGAGTATGCTTCTGTCATTTACTGGGAAAATAGCAGGTTTTATTCTAAATAGATAAAGTAAATTTTCTACCAGAGTTAGTACTGGTGGTGTCTTTCTTTCCAAGAAAGTGGGATGCTCATGTTTAGAGTTGATAGATTTAAAAAGGTAGAAATAGGGAGGGATGGGAGATGAAAATCACAACCACCTACTGATTAATAGAATATAAAGGAACTTAGTGCATGAAATTAATCTTAATCTTCCCTATTTCTTGACCTAAAAAGACTATTCTTAAGTTTAGTAACAATATTATTCACATACATTCTTATACTGAAGTAATTTCTGTAATAATTGTTTAAAAATCCAGTGGAGTTTTTAAAGAGCGACACAGTTCTTTAGAAAACTGATAGAAAAAATGTACATCTTAAAAATCTGAATACGTATGTCTAAGTCTGTAGTTTCAATGGCCATGTATAGTTTGGAGTGAATGCTGGCAGCTTTTTTCTGAAATGTGAAGAATATCTATATGACAAGTAATTACTGAAGTTCCAGATCTCTTTAGTATTTTAAGTAATTAAATGTTCAGATACAAAATTGCACCCCTGTGTCACTCTTATTTTGTTGTCATAAAATGAAAAAAAATGTTAAATGTGATTGTTTCAGTGCATCGCAATAACTGTGAGTGCAAATAAGAAGCCTGAACTTAGATCTTACTGGTTTGATATGTGGTTCAGAGCTGTACAGGCAAAATAATAAAAGCCTATAATGAAGATAGAATTACTGCTTCGGGTAATTGCTGTATTCAGAATAATCCTTTTATTCTTAAAATCTTCTACCAGCATTCCCTAACTGAACCCTGTAAAATGATCTGATAAAATGGCTGCATATTTAGGGACATCAATGGATTAAAGATATATATTTGTTTATTTCAGCATCTGTTGAAGTGTTAACTACTGTAACTAGGCAGATGAAAACATTAACTTTAATTCAAAATTTTTTTGAGAGAATTTAAAATCTGTTATGTTTCTTTAGGGAATATCAGGCTCCCTGCATGAGCCTAAGATAATTTTCAAGATCAGTTGAATTCTCTTAGTGTTTGATGGGATTTTTCTGTGTGTGTGATAGTCCTTCTATGGTAGGCACCACACAAGTCTGTGATGCCATGGAATTCTGCTGAATAATAAATAGGTTGCTGGTCATGATGCTTTAAATTGTGGTTCATGTTTCTCTGATGGCTCACGTGAGCAAATGTTTTTTTCTTAGTGAACGCAAAGAATAAAAAGGAACAAAAAAAAGACTGGTGTTCAATATAAGTGTTACAGGCTTTTTTTTTTTAAGTATGACTTGCTATGCATGCACTAAGCAAAAATGTGTTAAGTCCTTTTTTTGAACATTAAATTATTCAATTAGTTGAATGATGTAGTATGATGCATTGAGATAGGTGGGCTGAAACAAACCTTTTCAGTGGAAACAATGGAGACGGCTAGGGGAGAACAAGGGAGACACTGCAAAGTTCTCTCCCAGATATATGGGAAGCATTTTATGAGAAGCTTATTGCGTGAATATTATCATGAACAGTTAGTGGGAAAATTTGAGTTCTATTCCCAGTTAAGTTTTACTTCATTCTTAACCTCATAGTGAAACGAAGATGCTTCTTGTATCCCTTGTATGTATGTCCATGGTTTTCAGCTTACTTTTGAAGGGTCCATGAAACAGTCCAGAAATAGTCTTGTTACCACTGGACACATGATTGTTGTCTAAGAATTCCTGTCTTGATAACAACTTTTTAGAGCTCTTCAACCTGAGGAAGGCTGAAATTACTGATATAGATTCTTTCGAGAGCCTTTCTCTGTCTTCCTAATACATAAACTTTTGATTCAGGAAGCCCCAGAGCTGGAAAGGATTCGGGGAAGCTATATGTTCTTGTGATATTTTTATTCTTCTGTGGATGTCGTCCTTTGGTCAGTGGTGGAAACAGGATACTGGGCTAAACCAACCTTTCATCTGACCCAGTAGAGCTCTTCCTATGAGATCACAGAATCATAGAATCATTAACGTTGCAAAAGACCTCTGAGATCATTGAGTCCAACCGTTAACCGAATTGTCAGGTCCACCTGTAAACCATGTCCCTAAGCACCACATCCACACGTTTTTTGAACACTTCCAGGGACTGTGATTGCACCACTTCCCTGGGCAGTCTGTTCCTATGCCTAACCACTCTCTCTGTGAAGAAATTTTTCCTAATATCTAATCTAAATCTCCTCTGGCACAACTTGAGGCCATTTCTTCTCATCCTATTGCCTGCTACCTGGGAGAAGAGACTGACCTCCACCTCGCTACAGCCTCCTTTCTGGTAGTTGGAGAGAGCAATAAGGTCTCCCCTCAGCCTTATCTTCTTCAAACTAAACAACCCCAGCTCCCTCAGCTGCTCCTCATACGACTTGTGCTCCAGACCCTTCACCAGCTTTGTTGCCCTCCTCTGGACACTCTCCAGCACCTCGATGTCCTTCTTGTAGTGAGGGGCCCAAAGCTGAACACAGTACTCGAGGTGCGGCCTCGCCA